CCGTCCATCGCATTTCTTGGACGGCGGTGATGTCAGCCTTTTTTATTTTTACGAGGACATCAACCAGCTGGGCAGTGGCACCTTCCGAATTAAGGGACCGGACATTCCAGGTGCATGCCCTCAATCCGTAGTCCTTATTTCCTTTGCCATGGTCATCATCAAAAGTGGGGTCTCTCCGAGGCTGTTGTTGCGTTTTCATTGGGGTGGTTTTTTTATGTGGCGGGTCCCAAACCCAGCGCACAATCCTATGCAGGGAATGTTTCGCCTTCTCACTTTAGCTCGCCTTCAAACTAATGTTCTTAGGATACCCAGAGGATACTTGGTCAAGGACCGGAAGTCGTGAGCTGCTTTAGTCATATGTAAATGAATCGTTTCTGGCCACTGCCAAGTGATTGGCGATCAGAAAACTTTCCTCACTTGCGTGAACTTGTACACACGACTCCATCTTCCATTTTAGCCTGTAGAAATAAATACAATTTATCAAAACCTTAACTCATAAATAGCTTATAATAATATACACTATTATTTGAGAAATAGTTTTATTCCAACTATTTCTATACTCCACATAAGCTGTTTTATTTTCAATACAAATTCGAAAGWTTTATCAGAAATTTACAAGAGTAGTAGCCTATGGGATTTCTACGTTGTTTTGACTACATGAATGCCAAGGAAATATTGTAGTAATTTCAAATTTCAGCTTGGAAATTCATTTCGCAGAGAAAGTTTGTTCATTAAAAATATGGATTTTAAACATCTGAGTGAGTATCGACTTTTATATAATGTAAGTGAAGTAAGTAAGGTAAATATCAACAGGCTGTGACACGAAAYYACCAGTCGTTGTGGAAATTGCTGCAAAGACTGATGAGTTTGATTTCGCTGTGGGATTGCCGGACATAGAGATACCTCAAACAGATGATGAGAATGGTACAGACTTCTCTGCAGGATCGTCGGACGAGTATGTCCCCGATTCGGATGATGATGCACTGGCTTTGGCAGATGAATTAGAATTCAGTGATAAAGACGGCAGATGTAGTTTTAGAAGAAATCGCAAACTGTGGTGGTACTTATATCAATAACAAGAATGAAAATGGTAGAAATATACTTACGCGAAAGAYAAAGGTGAGTACAGCAAACACCTTTTGAGAAATATTGTTTGGGTCTAGCCACGTCTAACTCTGAAATATTTCCGATCAATAGATTAAAAGTCATAAATGGGTGCAGAATAAAAGGAAGTATCATCGCAACAAAGGAACCCGTATGTCACTAAGAGTATCAGAAGAGTTGAAGAACGTATTCCGAAACCATTGACCGTAAGTGCCGCCATAATTGCACTGAAATCTTCTCAGAAGAAGAGCACAGAGATCAATGCAGAATATTGGAATTTAGGCGACTGTTCCTGGCCAATTGCGTGAAAATTGAGAAGTGCAAAAGGACGTGGACAATTGGATCACGGCGGGCGAACACATTTAATTATACTCTCAAAGCCAAACAGGTAAGCAAGAAGTTTTTTTTAAATACTTTGAACTTGGCAAAATGAATTTGCTGATAAGAGGGGTCAACATGACCATCAGAKAAAATTAAACGAAGAGACAGCTGCGCTTATCAAACAGCACATCGAGTCATTTCCAGCCGTCGGAAGCCATTACACTCGAGCAAAAAGTCAACGACTTTAGCTTGCCTCCGACTTAACAATATCAAAAATGTACTATGTATTCAAAGAACTCCATACGGACGCAATCATTAAAGAAAACGTTTATCGCCGGATATTTTGCATGAATTATAATTATTCTTTCCACCGTCCAAAAAAGGACACCTGCTTAACATGCGAGAGGTCCAAAAACGCTGAGGACAAAGACTCCTTTCAGAAATCCTATGATGAACACATCTTAAATAAGACAAAGGCAAGAACTAACAAGCAAACTGATAAACAATCAGCTAAAAGTAACAGTAATTTTAAAGTGTTTACTTTTGACCTGAAGTCAGTGTTAACGACTCCTTGTAGCAACGTAAGCACGATATATTACAGTCGAAAGTTCGCCACGTATAATAACACATTTTACGACATTGCCAGTGGAGAAGGTTACTGTTTTCTATGGKATGAAAATCAGGGTCAACGAGGATCGAACGAAATTGGGACCACAATATGGAAAATGATGAACTCGTTAGACGAATCGGTAACCGAGGTTATTCTCTACTCAGACAAAACTCTACGGCGGACAAAACAGAAACAGGTTCATTGCTACACTATTGATTTATATCAACAATACCTTGAAGCTTAATTCGATATCAATTAAGTACCTCCAATGCCGACACACACAAATGGAGGCAGATTCGATGCACTCTGCAATAGAACGTGCGAAGAGAAGTATTTGCGTTTATTCGCCGGAAGAATGGCCAACTATAATGAGACTGGCAAGACGGAAAACCCATATGCTGTAAGAGGCTTCAATACAGCGATATGATTGATCTCAAAGCCATGTTTTCGAGTTTAGGCCATAGCATTAAGAAAAATATAAAAAATGACTCGGTAAATTGGCTTAATGTTAAGTTACTCCAAGTGAACAAAATTCAACGAAAACAATTATTATACAAGGAGGAATGGGATGGAGACTTGAAATTAATTGATATTGGAGGAACGCGAAAAACCAAAGAGGTGTTCAACTTTTCGTTTACTGGCAAATACAATAAAGAGCTGCAATCGAAATCTGCATGATCTTCAAAATTTGTGCAAAAAGAGTGTAATTCCTCGTGGCTCGCAGTAATTTTTTTTTACTTACGAGGTGGAAACAAGCGAAATTGTTTAGATGAAAAACTTGCGCTTTGAATAACATAATTATAGTCTTAAAGGATGAGTAGAATAAAAAAACTAGGTGAATTTAAAGACAAGAAATGTACTACCAGTATGAAGAGTTTTTATTTACCGCGATATTGAGGTTTTAATAGAAATCCGATTTGACAAAAACTTTAAACTCGATCTTCTCAAAACCCAAAAAAAAGTATACGCTTTTTTTATATTGAGGGGACGATATATACTATACTATATACTATTCGTACATATATTTGGATGTAAACATGTAATGTACCAAACTGTTTTCGGTTTCCCGGAAATCAACCGTTCTATTAAAATTTACAGGATCGTATACAGTTTTTATAGAGATCAACTGTAACTTTCCACAACATATATGCAAATAAGTACAAATGATTTAAAATAATAAATGGAGTTGATACACTCACTTTGTGCCTCTTCAGGGGTCTTTTAGGGCTTTATATACAGTTAAGATATGGGGGTAGCTTATGCCACTGCGTCCAATTTGTTTCCTCTCTGTTTCTTTTCCTTTTGTTTTCTTGTTCCGTAGTTGCAACTTTCCCTTCGTAGGTTGGTTTCCTTCGCTGTTGGTTGGCTTTCCACTGTTGGTTGGGTTGTTTGGTTTATTATTATTATTTTTTCCAGTTTTTAATTTCAGCTGTATTAATGTTTGATTTCGCAGTTTATTATCTTATTTCACATAGTTAGATTTTATACAAATGTATGTATATGTTAAATTCGCGCTCGTGTGGATGTATGTAAGTATATAAATTGTATTCCGCGACCGGCTTAAGGATTTCTTTTTTTTTTTTGCTTTTAGGTTTTTGGTTCTTAGCACTGTACCGTATGTGCACAACACGGAACCGTTTCGTTTTCCAAACTGTTGATATATATACATACATCTATGTACACTTCACCGCACCTTTTATTTTATATTTTACTCTTGAAAATAATTAATTTTTTTTCCAAATAGTGACTTTCTTAGCGGCTCGAAGGACCAGTGTTTAAAGTAGCATGTTTAAGTCACTTCACTTTGTCTTTTAGCACTTACCACTTTCTCGTATTTAAATAATACACCTGTTTCGCTTATAAGGGTATTTCAATTCAATTTAATTCGACTGATTTTAATATCTTTACAAATCTTCACAAATATGAGGGTAGTTACAATTTTTTTGATTCGATGTGTTAATTCTAATTTTCCACTAAAATTGCAGAATAACAAAATGATTTTAACTAGATTTTTTAATTTATAAATGTGTGGAACTACTCAGACTAAGACGACCGAAAAGGCGAGAGGATCACAGTGATGCGTAGACTAGGGTGGGTCGATTCCGGACTTTTTTCGATTTGGGATTTCTAATAGTGCATAAAAGTTGCCTTAGCGCTTCCTGATTCCAATACAACTTTTTGTTTTGAGATCGGATTGCATCTTCAACCCCAACTCCGGCCTTGAAATTTCGGAAATTCGCCTAAAATCGTGAAAATGTCCACCTAGTTATTTGTCACGTCATTTGCTACCGAAATGGTATATGTGATCATGGCCATAGACGAACCGTTCCCGAGATACGAGCGAAAATGCGGCGCGCCACAGGTGAAAATCGGCTTGCGGCCACACTTCCTGACGTTGATTTCGCCAAGTGCTATCACTCACATTCATCCACCTACGCCAAAGGACATGTTCGGATAGGTCTCTACACAAATTTTTTTTCATCGAGTTCCTTCACTTTTGTCGGTGATTTCGCCGAGTTCTATCACTTACATTCATTTCCATGCGCCATACGACACGTTCCGACTGGTTTCCCCACAAATATTTTTTCATCGAGTTCCTTCACTCTTGTCGTTGATTTCGCCGAGTGCTATCATTTATATCCTCTCAACAGAACACAGAACTCAAAATGTCTGTATCTAAATTTAAATTTAGACAGAAATGTCCTGTGTTTGGCATATATCCGTACAATCTCTCTGAGTCSCAGTTACCTACTTACCAGGATGTTCTTTTGTGTTATCAGTTTGAAAGATTTCGTATAGGGCGACTCCGAGGCGACAACTATGAACCTAGGAGTAAAGAGGTTACAGAAATAGTTGCAAAAAAGGTTGAAAATACTTTCAAAAAGCCATCTATTCCGATAGTTTCATACACCAGAGTTGTACAAATGCTCACCACAAATGCAGAAATTTCTGACTCTTAACCAAATGTTTTTAAGGAACCCAATAGGTTTGAGCTCTAAAAGAGACGACTATGTCTCTTCTGCCGGACAATTATTTGACATCGCTGCTTGTAAATGCATTTATTTTTCTTCTTGCACTTGTCCAACGGAAAGGAAAGTTCATATCAATGAACAACCATTTCTCTTGGACCAGAGAACCAGAAGATTTGCCCGCTTTGGAAGTGTTGATCTACCTGAAACAAAAAAGATTACAAAGAAAAATAAACGTAAAAAAAGCTTTTAAAACGTCATTCAACATCAACACTTACCAGAAAAGTATCAGCTAGAACCCCTGACCATTCAGATCAGCCAGACTCTCATACAGACGACAACAATGTAGGTGTGTCGCACATGGATTCTTCCAGAAACGATGCTAATGATGAGTTTTCTCTTCCATCCTGTAAAACCAAGCAAAACACACTAGCATAAGAACACACTGCTTTAGCTGCCCAAAGATTTGGAGTAAGTGATAGAGCAGCGGCATTGTTTGTTTCATCTGCTTTTCTGGATGCCAAAAAAGCWGGTTTGATAACAGAGGATCATTCCAGCTTTGTCACTGACAAATACAACATTAGTCAGGTAAAAAAAAAGTGTTGGAGTTACCCTCCAAAACACCGAAATTATTGACTCTGTATACGGGCTGTATTTTGACGGCCGCAAAGACAATACAATTACACAAGTCAGCGAAGGTGAAAAGTACTACCGCGACACTGTCAAAGAGGCACATATTCTTTTATAGAGGAACCTGGTTGTAATTACTTTGGCCACATCACCTCTCCTTCCGGGTCAGCTGAGGATGAGACGTAAGATATATGGCAACATTTACACAACAATTCAGTTGATGTGGAACATCTAGAAGTTGTCGGTGCTGATGTCACCAACACGAACACAGGTTGGAAAGGTGGATCATTCGGAAACTAGAAGAAAGAATAGGTAGGCCATTACAGTGAGTTGTTTGTCTTCTACATTTCAACAAATTCCATTTCGGTCTCTTTTCGAACACATAGATGGTGTCTCAAAGAGTCCAAATACATTCTCTGGCGACATAGGTAAACTGCTCCCT